AAAAAAAAAAAAAAAATCACAAAAAAGCACAAACAAACCCTGAACAGGTGCTTTCATTTTTTTTGCTGTAGACACCTTCAGCCAAAACAAAGCCCACTATTGCACCTGCATAGTTACCCTGAGCTCAATTTGGAGTCAGTTTCCCTGATACATATGGACACTAAAATGCATGCGAAGATGACTGATAGGAAGCAAAACATTTTTAAAAGCTGCTCTTTCTGGCAATCTTAAAAACAGATGGATAGATAAGAGTATTAACTCTAGAACTCCAAGTCTTTGGCAACGCCTTAGGTCTACTAAAAAGCTATTTTAATAGAGGTCTATTAGAACGCTTCTAATGATGCTCTGTGCACGCACGGTCGTGTGCGGTCACCGCCCAAGTTACCGCCCACCCAAGCCTTCCATAGAGCCGGTGGGACAAGGACCAGCCCAGAGTCAGCGAAAAGGATCTACGGGTCTTTCATTTGTGGGTTTCTTTTCCAAGCCGCGCCCCTCCTAGGGAGGGTGCGTGAGAGCCCGCCGAGGGGGCGCGGGCCGGGGCACGCCCAGCCCACCACCTACCTGTAGCTCAAACGATCGCGGCGAGATGCTGAAGCCCTGCTCAGCGGCTGGGAAGTGGGCGATCTTCACTTCAGCCACCTCCTCGTTAGGGTTGTCCAGGGCCAGGGGCAGCGTCCGCGAGGCTCCCAGCCGCACATCTCCGAAGCAGAGGAAAGGCGACCTGCAGAAGTGGCTGAGAGACAGGACCGGCGGGGAAGCTGCCGCCTCCTCGGCCGCGGAGTTCCGCGGCCTGGCCGACGGCCTCCGTTCCGTGGGGCTCACCTCCCAGCTTCGCCCGGCACGCCGGGTCGCCATGGCAGCTTCGAGACGCCGCCCGGAAATTCTGGCGCCTCGTCCACAGGGCTGCTCCGGACCGGGGACCCCGACCGCGTCCCCTCGGAGGCGGCTGTGGAGGTCGTGAGAGCGAATCCGCACCCCCCCTTTCGTTTCCAGTAGCCGACACGCCAGAAAAAAAAAAGAAACAAACGCCACAAATTCGCAAACTCCAAAGAGGAGCAAAACAACTGTGGCCCCAGCCTCGGTTTAAACTTCTCGCCTCCACCAATGGGCGCTCCCGGAGACCGCCCACCTCCTCACAAGGCCAATCAATGAGCAGCAGCCCCTAGCCAATGAGACGGCAGCGCCTTATTTAAATAATCGTCTCAGCCGCAACGTGTCTCCTAGGAGGGGGCGAAAACCGTGGCGGAGTCTTGGGCACACCCTGAAACTATGGGTTAGAATTGAAATTCGCCTTTTTCTTTGAAAACAGGTTGGGTTAAAGGGAAGAGAGTAACAGCATTTCCACATTAAATGTAGCAATCATTGCGGGAGCCCAGAGGTCCACCTTTGTAAAACCGTTAGGTAGGCAAAAAATTAGTTTAAATCATTCATCTAATATGCCCCACCCAGCACTATATTCATTAGCTCTTCTTTTGCGGTTTCCTGGGGACGAAAGGGAAAAAAATGAAGAAAATTAAATTTATAATTGTATCAACGTGCTCATTTCAGTCACTGACCATAACAGGTGCTCAGTAATTCTGTTACGTGCTGGTTCTTACCCCGGGATACTGGTAGCAAAACTAGATAAAAGAGAACCGAGGTTCCCAATAATTTATAAGTAATGGTTTTGACAGGCAGTGCCCGCGACAAATAACTTCTTGGTTTTTATCTTAATTGTAGGTATCTCATAATAATGATTATGACTTGCATATTACTGTTACTATATGCCAGGGATTGTTTAAGGTCCTTTACACGTTTATCTCAACTTTTACTTCAACCCTGTGAGATAGCTACTATTTGTATTTTACAGATGAGCAATAGACTATACAAGACAGCAAGCTTGCAAAGCTAGGATATGTACACAGGCAGTTGGTCGATATTCTTGCTCTTACCCGCTATACCATACTGCCTCTAAAGATAGTAAGAAATTTAAAAATAATATATGGATGTGTGTATGGGGATGTGTGTATGGGGACACAAAGCAAAGTCTCTGAGTAGAAAACAAAAGGAAAAAGGTGAGGTTTATACTAAATTATATTCACTGACACTCAACAGGACCTAAAGTTGAATCCTGTTAACAATTTTTAAAGAATATTGTTTTTGTTTGTTTGTTTGCGGAATCCTTTAGGACTGATGCACAATGAGAACACTACTAGTTTTTTTAAGCAAAAAAATGTTAATATGAATTGCATTTTCAATTGCACTTATTTCATATTGTAAATGTTATTCATCAAATTAACATTGAACATACAAGCCCTCTAAAGCTTAAGTCACTGAAAGATTTGATTCACCTTTTTTTAACATGTTGATAGCACATTTTGTTTATATGTGTTCTTCACGGTTTTTCATAAATGCTGTTAACTCACAATTTTTTTAAAAAAGCAGAATGAACTCTACTGGATGTTTTTTTATTTGCCTCTCCATTTCCACTCTCCACTATTTTCCAGGCTGCTCTTTGCTGTGGGATTTTGATCTGCATTCTATATATGCTACATTAATAGTTTTTCTTACTCCATGGCTTCTGTTTTGCTTCAAAGAGGGAGGTCACTAAAGGTACTTACTTCCTCCACTCCTCTCCTGCCTTGGACTCACTACATCTCAACACTAAAAGCAACTCGTAGTTGAACACGTGGCCTCTCAACATGGGTGTTCTCCCCTCATCCCTTTAGATCTGGGGGTGGGAGTATCACAGTTGTTAATAGTTCCAGAGTATTGCATTATTGCTTGTTACCCTACATTCATCTTTGCAAATACAGCTGACCCTAGAACAACATAGGTTTGAACTGCACTGGTTCACTTACAGGACTTGTTACAGTACTCTAAGTGTATTTTCCTCTTATGATTTTCTTTGTAACATTTTCTCTAGCTTACTATATTGTTAGGAATACAGCATATAATACATATAACATGCAAATGAAACAGGAGACAGCTAAAATGTGTTCCTGAGGTTTTCACAATTTAAAATGTCCTATATTCTAATTTTGGAAATTAGAGGCAGCAGATTTATTTGTCCACCCACTGAGATAATTTCTTCACAAGAATTATACTATCAACTTCTCAGACTGTTTAAAATTACATGAGAAAATGTTAATGTTTATGTTACTGGTAAGACTTCCAGTCAATAGGCTATTAGCAGTAAGCCTTTGGGGAGTCAAAAAGTTATACAGACTTTCAACTGCGCCAGGGGTCAGTTCCCCCAACACCCACATTGTTCAAGGGTCAACTGTCTTTTGCAGCCTCTGTCTCAATCTACAACTTGGGAAAATTGCAAATTTCCTTGTGACCATTTCATATAGGAAGAAAAAGCCTGGTTATGGTTGGAACTGTATGGTAAGCCAGATGTTCTATTTGTTCTATTTGTCTATGGTCTTTGCATTCAATTTTTTAAGGAGACATGCAGAATATGTTCTGCATTCCCATGCTGTTAAAATATGTTCAATAAAACCTAGATATGCTGTATTAGGTAGGACCAAAGAACTTTATATTTATTTTAAATATCAAAATAACACAACAAACTAGTTCAATATACAATACACTTCCTAGTCTTCACAGAGAACTGAATTTTTCTATAGACATTTGTATTTAAGAAACATGAGACAGCTAAAATATGTAACTCACAAGATACTTCACACACAGTTGACAAAATAATGAATTTTGATATTTTAGATTTTCCTTTGTAATTGTTTTTAAGTGTCCTTTAATGATTAAAAACAAAACTTATGATTTAAAACTGAAGACTAAGTTCAAAAGCATTTCCACTTTAATGTACATCATAAATCCCCTTAATCAGAATATTTACTACACAACATGGAGCAGCTAAATGCCCACCTCTGTACTCATTATTATTATTATTTTTGGCAGCCACACTCATCAATTGTAATACAGTTGTGTCTATAGGGATAAGAAAAGTCCAATTGTTGGAAGAAACAAAAAATTCTGTATTACACCACAGTACACTGTCCAACTTTAACGCAAGCAGGAATACCAAGCAAAGAGGCGAAATAACAATGAAAAGTGTACATGCTCTTCATTCAAGAAATGTTTTGGAATCTCCAACAATGCAAGCACTAAATTACTTTTGTACTTAAGAATTAAAAAAAGATATGTCCGTCTTTGTAGAACCTCTATTCTGATATAATTCTTAATTTCTTTTTATATAAATGGCTGCAGAGACTAAATTTAAACTCTCTTGGGATTTTTTAATAGTCATAGATTTAAGATCAATACATAGCAAGTTGAATGAAACATGAAGAGGAAACAAAACATAGTCACTCTCTCTACCAAGACCTTCTTTCTCTCATCTTCCACACAACCTAATCCTATTTCTTCTATCTTATTAATGCTACTTCCAAAGAGAAGAGCAGAAAGCATGCTAATATTCTAGATAAAAGTATCTTTAAGTTGAAATAACATTAGAGGAAACAAAGGGGTGATCCCCCCAAAAGAACACGACAGACTTTATGAAGAGAGGAATGTGAGAAAGAAAGGGAGGGCGGAAATCTAAGGAAGAAGTGCCTATAGTTCCTAGAAATTATTTAGAAAATTGTTCTCACATTATCCATTATTCACCCTAATCGCAAGTAACATTTACCGTAATACTAAAGTTTTAGAAATGTTACCTGTTCCTTATTAAAGAATGTATTTTTAGTCATTTTAAATTTGACACTGAATCTTAGAATTATACAAGTATGACTTTAAAAGTCCTAAGTTTTCCTGAGTTCACCAACTCAAATTATATGTTGGCTGGGATGTTGCTGCTCCTAATGAGAAACTCATCTCGAACCATCACCTCTAGTTCAGTTTTAGGCAAACTGAAATGAGAAGCCATTCAATGTAGAGCTGTGTGGATATGGGGAACTGATTATTTTTAAAAAGGAAGGTGGGGGGGGGAGGAGAAGACAGAGAGGCAGACACACTACTCATTTTATTTTATTTGTCAGATTCCTCTAATAAGCATCTAGAGACAGGCCCTGGAGTGGCTTCACAGTAACTATAAAGGCCACAAAAGAGTTAAAAAAAACAAAAAAACAAAAAAACAAAAATAAATGTTCACACTATTACTTAGTGCCATTTTCCTAATCATAAAGTAATCTAAAAAAAGTATTGCCTGACCAGCAGGCAGCACAAACATAAAACCCATAACAACAACAACAACAACAACAACAACAAAATCAAAATCATTTATTAACCAGTACAATCTAGCCAGCAGAATCAATTTTAAGCAACTACAACACATTGAAAAGGCACAAAGTATTCAATTCAGAAAAGATTGGGTATAAAAAGGACACTGTCGAAGAGCTAAGCTTTAAATCTGACTTTTCATCAACGATATGTTAGAATGATCTGGTAGGAAGAGAACTCAAACTTATAAACATACCAGTTTAACTGTGTTTTTGTTTGCGATTAAAGACTGAAAAGCAATGAATGATATTTAATTACTTATTAGCCCTTAACAGTTTACAGTCACTCTGCAAAGATGTTTGACACTTTTAAAGTTGACAGAAATTAGTGTACCTATATCATGACCTACAATCACTTAAAAGGAAGTCACTTAATAAAGCACCAGTTTAAAACCCTATTTTTGCTACTCCTTTTCTCCCAGCAAAAACGACTAAATTACTTAAAAGTATGCAAAGATCATTACCTTTACAGTTTGTTGGTTAAATCTTGCTGGCATGAAGAACAAACCCTAACCTTAAATGGTATTTTAGACTGCAAAAAATAGGTGGGGTTTCTTATAAAAATAACTTCAACTTGTCTTAAAAAAAAATTCTAAGGCAAAATTATTTTAATAGTGTAGTGTAAAAAATAAGCTTATTATTTAGCATTTAATAGTGTCCACTTAAAAGATAACATTCAATTAACTGAACTGAGGAAAACTGAGTATTCTTACTTGTAATTGGTTTGTCAGTATGACTATTCCCAGAGTATTTTCTTCTGTTTTTATTTTTATACACATAAACACAAACACTTAATCTTAGTATTCAAACTAATGATTTTTCTTTTTAAATCCATAATCCTAGGACTTCAACTGTGCTTCTTTGGACAAATATTTATTCAAACAACAAAGAATTTTAATTCTTTTAAACTATTTTAATACCTACTAAAAATCTTTGGTGCATTTAAGGAAAAACTGATTAGGTTAACACATTTCTACACTTGATAAATTATTCAATTTACATATTAAGTGCTAATTGCTATCAGCTAAAAAATTAATTTAAAACAATAAATTATGCTCATAAAATAAAAAATTCTGAATGAGGCTAAACTTAGTTGCAAGATTCAAAAATTTAAGTACAGTTACAAAATTAATGGATTTTAGAGTTAATGGAACACTTGTCCAAATACTCCAAATTAAATATTACAAAAGTTTAACTGAAAAGAGTAGGCCTCATTTCATATTTTTTGTGCCAACTTCAACAACTTATATACATTCAGTTTGCCCAAATCCATGAGGTTTTCACAATTTAAAATGTTCTATATTCTAATTTTGGAAATTAGAGGCAGCAGATTTGTTTGTCCACCCACTGAGATAATTTCTTCACAAGAATTATACTATCTACTTCTCAGACTGTTTAAAATTACATGAGAAAATGTAGTGCCTGGCACACAGTAAGCATTTATTAATGCTAGCTTTCTTTCCCTATTAGTAGCTCTGCCATTTTTAATGCTGAGAGCTTAAGTGAGTCCTTTATCTTAACCTCGGATTCTTTATCTCTAAAATGGGAATACAGCATGTCTTTTCTCTTTCAGATTTGGTTATGAGGTTAAACGAGAGAACCGTGAAAGCATTTTATAAAAGAGTAAACCAGTATTCAAGTTTATCTACAATAATAACTAAATATAGTTCTATTTCACTTTATGTAAGAGATGTATTCCAGAAAAGTTTCGTTCTGTAAACCAACTCCTATGATCAAATTATGTACTTATAGAATTAGGAAATTATTATTAAAAGAATCCTAAATACCTTCAAAAAAGCAAAGTATTCTTTTCAATGTGAAAATGCAACACCCTATTTCTTTCTTGCTACCAAGCATATAATATACCATACACAGACACATATATACCATTGCCTTTTTAGAAGTCCAAACTTTTCTACAACGGTTTATATGTAAGGCAGGGTATACTTTTAGGTATTACTTCATTTCATTATAGTAAGTTTTTGAGTTGAAGGTCTTGTTTTCATGAGAGGAATCAAAAAACATAAAGACATATTTTTAAAAGTCAATTTGAAAGACTAACAGACTAATAGTACCTCATACAGTCAAGTTTTATCACATAAGTACCCCAGATATAACATTTTCACACAAAAGTAAAAGTGTTTTGAAAAGAATACATTAATTATATCTACTGGTCCTAGACTAATTACAACCAAACCTTGATAACTGAGGCAAAACTCGGGTTGGTTTTGTTACTTATGTGAGCTACTTTGGTTAACTGCCTCAATCTCAACATTTTTTTCTTTTATTTCCACTAATATGATGTGAATGTTCCTGTAAAGTACCTTCATTTCTTAAGTGCTTCAGCAAACAAGTTTCCCCATTAGTAAGTGGTTAAATTTTATTCATTAAAACTTCATTATTTTATTTGTGATTTTTTTCACAAGGGCTGGGCCAGACTTTACAGTTTACACAAAAAAAGTGCTTAAAGCAATTAGGAGTGTAAACAAAACTGAAATAGAAAAATCTTAAAATTGCTATTTTCCAGTAGTTTACATACAAATGACATGCTAATAATAAATCAACCCTGCCTATTCTAATCCTTCAAGCAGCTCCTAGGAAATATCATCCTAGTTTAAGTTTAAATGGACTTGAAAATATGGAAAGTGCACATCTTGAAAGGTATTTTGTAATTTTGACTGACTTTTTCCTCAATTTTTATCAGTGAGGTTTTTGCTCTAACTGCTATTTCCTCTCACCAAGTCCTCAACTTTTGTCTCCTACAAAAATAAAAATCAAGGATAATTACAGGCCTTAGGCTTATTGAAAAGCAAAATAAAGATCTAGATTACATGTAAATCTGTATACAAGTAGTGGTTCCCTTTAATTAAAGTAAACATGGAGTTTAGTTGGACATAAATTTTATAATTTGGCACCTTTCCTAACAGTTACATACGTAATACGTAGGTTCTGTTTCCCAGAATTTCACTTAGCCAAAGTAAATGAGACCAAAAGTAGCTTATAAATTAAATTTCACTGATTAGTTATAATTGCCCCTCCTTTAGTGAAATGAAGATATATGCTATTATGTGCTGTTATTGTTTCTAAATAAATGACAAAATATAAAAGGTGAACTTACCTTGAAAGTTATCTAGTTAAAACGGTCATAATTTGCTTTCAATACCTTTTCAACTTTGTATAATTTAACACCTGCACATATGTTTGCATTTTGTGTTCATGGTAACTAAAGCACTGGCAAAAACCAATCCTTTGAATAATTATTTCAATTCTGCGTTTCATTTAATAAGCTAATCTTACATTAAGTTAGCTTTCTGGCTTTGAGTTTATCAAAAGACCAAAGGATTAATAATAACCTGAAATTATGGCCAGATAAAAAAACAACACAAAAATATCCAAGATTTCCCTACAAATTTAAATCTAACTTCAAATTTTAAAAATGCAGAAGAAATGATAATGAATCTTAAGTTAGGATAAGAAGAGTTGCAATTATCAGTGTATTCTTATAGTCTTTCTGAAAGGCTACATGGTCCTTAAGCTTCTCTGGAAGATGTGGAAGGGAGAAAAGAGGATTGAAACTAAAGAATAAAAACGTCCACTGATGATTAAAAACAAAAACAAAAACAAAACCATAAAGTCAACAGCTAGTAATAATGAAAAGTTTGAGGAACCATTAAAAATTAAGCACTAAGTTATCTTTAAAAATCACAAAAATGTTCATTTCAAATATTATACCTCAAAATGTGTCCAAATATTCGTATGTTCAGTAAACAGAAATACATATTTTTCTTGATTTGAAATGGTTCTGAGGACTTGAGAAACTAGAGAAAATGAAAAAAATAGCAGCCTTACTAATTTAAAAGCCATCAGTCTAGGCTACCATTAGCACATAACAATCAAGAAAGTCTGTGGAATGTTTAGATTTACTCATGAATGATGCTCATTATTAGAAATACTTTGTACAGCAGTAGCATTATCAAGGCCTAGTAGTGTTCCAAGATAAGACTGTTCTCTAGGGTCTAGCATTTGTTCAGGTCGTACTGGATGAACTATATTTGCAGGTTGAGGAGTAAGAGTATATTTTTCCAGAAAAGCTAAATCAGCTGCTCGGGGATAATCAGTTGATTGTGGCTGTGGTGACAAGATCTCATGAGAAGATGGTGGAAGCGTGGTTGTATGACGCACCAGATCACTCTGAGTGTCAGGCATCTGAACTGGAACCAATGTTACTGGAACACACACTTCAGCAGACACATTCTGTAACATAGTCTTGGCTTCTGACTGATAAACTTTGGGCTGGTCCATATATTGTTTTGTTTCTGTTTGAAAGATTTTATCATCAGATGAGTACTCTACTGGCAAGGATACAAGTTTTTCCTCAGAAGTACTTAGAGGATCGTCTGGAGATTTTATGCCATGAACATGGTCAATGTGGTATTTCAGCTTGTCTTTCCGCTTAAATGTTGCATTACAGTGCTGACAGTTGAAAGGTCGGGCATCAGAATGGATAACCAGGTGTTTTGTTAAAGTTTTCTTAATTCTAAAAGATTGATTGCAAATTTGACACTTGTATGGTTTTTCTCCTGTATGAACAAAAATGAAATTAAGGTAAAATGCATTCAGTTGGGAAGACAATGATTTAAAGTAGCAAATTTTCCACATGAATACTTACAAGAACTTAACAAAAGCAGTGATATTATATGCTATCACAAAATGGAGACAGTACAGTAAGCCAGTAAAGACAATGGGCTCAAACATTAAAAAGATCCAGGTTTGAATTCTAGCTGTACCACTTACCAGCCAAACCTTGAGCAAGATACCCAACTTCTAAGCATAGTTTCTTCACCAGTAATATGCAACAACAATAGTGCCTACCTCAGAGATGGTGAATGGATTGAACAAGAAAACAAACAGTGCTGAGAACTGTAGCTGGCATAAGATAAGTACATGATGGACTCACAGACTATTATTATTGCTTGTTTTTATTCCCACTATAGCCCCTAAAAAAGGTATAAAACAGAAACATCCGATTTCCTCCCACCCAAGAAGGATTAAAATTAAAACAGCAACTCTGATTAACTGAGTTCTTAGAATCAAACTAAGAAGTAGTGATCCTTAATGTCTGGCCTGAGGTCAATGTAAGGAGAGTTGATCAGGATAAAGAACAAGGAAACCGAACTAGTTTTCAGTCCCTCCTGAGTCAGGTTTCCACGCTGTAGTTTTGTTGTTTTCCTTTTTGTTTTTAATATGAAACATTATAAATTCCTAGGTTAGCCAGTGTGGTAGGCAGAATAATGACCTCCCAAAGAGGAAATCTAGGAAGCTGTAAATATGTTACTTTCCGTAGCAACAGGGACTTTGCAGATTAAAGATCTAGAAATGGGGAGATTAGCTGGATTATCCAGCATGGCCCAATTTAAACACAGGAGTCTTCAAAAGCAGAAGATAACGGAAGAAGAATGCATCAGAGAGATGCAACAAGAGGAGAACTCAACCCCTTCACTGTTGGCTTTGAAAATGCGAAAAGGGGCCAGGACCTAAGAAATGTGGTGGCCTCTAGAAGCTGGGAAAGGCTCTCAGCTTACCACAAGTAATAAAACTAGAACCTGGGTCCTGGTCCTACAGCTCAAAGACAGGTTTATCATAACCCAACTGAGCAGAAAAGAGATTCTTCTCTAGAACCTCCAGAAAGAAACGCAGCCCTACCAACATCTAGATTTTAGCCCATGTCAGATTTCTCACGAACAAAGATCTAAGATCATACACAATTGTATTACTTAAGCCACTAAGGTTATGGTAATTTACTACAGCAGCAAGAGAAAACAAACCCAGACATACAATTGCACAACAAACACAAGGCATGTATTTTAAAACTAAATGGAAAGCTTTTATATTAATTGTTACATGGGTTTGTTGATATCACTGTTTTATCTTTCCATTTAAAAGAAAGCCAGTTCTCCTAGAAAATTAAGAGAATTGCACCTTCAAGTTGAGCCACTAATAGCAAACAATTAATTATTCATTAAATATTATTAATTGTTATTTTGTGGCCCACAGGAACTTTCAAATCCCATTACAGAAAATGTATACAGGCTGCGATGCTGGTTCCTGGACTATTACATTTCTACTTGTTTTTGAACTAGTATCATGACTGATGTCACTAAAGAGGAAGTAAAACATGAAGTAAAACATTTATAAAGGGTTAAAATTCTTGAAAAGATAGTATTTGCAACTGTGTGTAGAACACACTGTATCCAACATTTGATTTCACCTGAAATGCCTACAATCAGGGACAATATGAAAAAGGTTATAAAAGAATGTTTTGAAAAAAAAAATTACACTTCTAAAATGCAAGAACTTTCTATAATTCCTGGCATTAAAACCAGTCATGCCAGGAGTGTTCTATAATTAAAAAAAAAAAAAAAAAAAAAAAAAAAAAAAGAAAGAAACTCTAGCATAGCATTACGAACACCACCACCAAGTACAGAATTTAGTTTTAAAGATAAAAGTATTGGTTTTAAGTATTCTCCTTTGGCACAGTATTAGCCATGATAGTTTCTTAAGCACATTCTTTTTTTTTTGTTTTTTTCAACGTTTATTTATTTTTTTTGGGACAGAGAGAGACAGAGCATGAACGGGGGAGGGGCAGAGAGAGAGGGAGACACAGAATCGGAAACAGGCTCCAGGCTCTGAGCCATCAGCCCAGAGCCTGACGCGGGGCTCGAACTCACGGACCGCGAGATCGTGACCTGGCTGAAGTCGGACGCTCAACCGACTGCACCACCCAGGCGCCCCTTTCTTAAGCACATTCTTAAAAGCTTTTATAGATGATGGAAAGTCATAGTCAGTCAGTTCCAGTGTCCCACAAATACTGTTAGGAAGCTGGGACTCAGGCATATTTCTTTGAGAAGTTTCTATGATCATTTTAAACAAATTTCATTTTCCACAGAAAAAATCAATTTATGTTTATAAAACAAAGATCCACAAAGGAAATGTTGATATTATTATATTTAAAAAGTAAATATGGAGTGCTTATAGATACACAGTGAGAAGGGTCAATAATGTGGACTTAATGAAAAGAGGAATACTTATTGAAGAAACATTCTACAGCAAGGCAAGGCTTTCTGTAGCAAAATTATCTATTTGATAACAATGAACTCAAGTTGGGTGAATCTCAGGATCACAAATCAGAGACCTAAGGAAACAAAGGAAAGGTCTCCTGCAAGATGCACAGAAAGGAGTCTATTTTTTAAGAGTGGAAATAGATAAAACAATGCTCAAAAAAATGTAATTTCTTTCTCAGCTAAAATCATAGTAACCTATGAGTCTTTAGAATTAAAAAATGTCTTCCAATAGATGAGTTATAGTTAGATATTAAAAATTAGTATATGAAAATATAACGAGAACTTGCATTCAAATTTGATGGAGTAGTTTATATCACAACTATGTCTCTTGCTAGTGAAGAGGAAAAGATAAAAGATTTTTTAAAATTCAAAGAATCTACTCTTTGGAGGCACTGAAGCACAAACAAGGCAGCCAGGACATAAGGGGCCAAGATTCTGGAGGCACAGGAAGGTATGGACATGTGTTCTTTCCTCAATGTACTTTCAGATTTAGTGACAATTAATAAATAAATAAATTCTCTGGGTATGGGGAAAAATAAATAAAATAAATTCCCTGGGTAGGGGAAATAAGAGGTCAAGTGGCAGCCGAGGGCCTGATGGCATTCCACTGGAATGGGAAGATAAAAGCTAGAGTTTGAGACTACCCAGGATTTAAGGGGTCAAGAGCCTGGAAAGGAAAGAACAACAGAGAAATGAACAAAAATACTGACATTTGCCGGCTCTCAAGATGAACATCTGCTGGATAAGACAGCTAGAAACCAGAGGCTGGATACTGAAGGGATGAAAAGATATTTTAGCAAACCCAAGGGTCCTGGGGAGATGAAGATTAGAGTTTAAGTCTCACCACAATAATGATGAACTAGCAGAAAGGTAGATCAGAAATAGATAAGAAGTGACCCATGCCATCTCATTCTATCTGCTTATGAGAAGAAAATTAAATACATCTGAGAAAGAATACAACTTCAAGAACCTCTACAATTTTTCATTCACAAAATCGAAGGTTCATTTCAAAACGATCAGGCATGTCAAGAAACAGAACCAAATGACCAAATGTTGAGAAATGGGGGGCAAAAAGATAATAGATAGCCCTAAAGGTGAAGAGAAATTACATAAGACTAAAATATTAAGATGAATATGATTAATATATTCAAGAAAACACAGGAAAAGAGAATTTCACCACAGAATTGGAACTATGGGAAAAAGAAAATTCTGGAACAGATAACTGAATAATTCAGTAGATTGATTTAATAGCATATTAGACACCACAGAAGAAATAATATAATGGAAAATAGATTAATAGGAATTATCCATGTGGAAGCACAAAGAGAAATAGATTGAAAATATACAAAAAGCATTATATTCATATGTATATATACACACAGACACATATATATATGACAAAGTAACATATCTAACATAAATAAACTGGAATCCTAGAAAGAGGAGAGTTTTGTTTAAGAAGATTTACCCTATACAAAAGAAAAGACATCTCAAGTCACAGACCCAGTAAGTTCTACAAACCTCACAAAATACAAAAAAAACAAAGCAAAAAAAACCACACATCTGTGCACACTATAATAAAACTACTAAAAATTAAAGAGAAAAAAGCAACCAATTAAAAAGAGACATTTCATTTAAATGAGCAACAATAAGACTAACAGTATACTTTTCAACAACAAAAGAGGTTCAAGGAGGAAAAAAAATCACATATTTACAATGTTGAAAGAAAATTAGCTGCTAATATAAATTATATAGTCAGGAAAAATATTCTCCATAAAGTAAAATAAAAACATTTTCAGACAGTCAAAACCTAAGAGAACCTGGTGCCTGCAGATACGCTCGAAAGGAGTCCGCATGTGGAAGGAAAATGATTCCAGGAGGAATAATGTGAATGCAGGAAGCAGTAAACAGTAAAGGGCACATATATGGTTAAAAATAAATAATATGGGTTATTTAAAACAAACCAAAAAATAATGTCTTATGTGGTTTAAAGTATATGTAAAATTAAAATACATACAGTGCATAAAAGGTGAGAGGTAACAGTGTTGTAAGGTTTTTTTGTGTTGTCTAGAAATTGATAAAGAATTAACTTAAGGTAGACTAATAATTTATGGATACACATAGCAATCTTTAGGGTGATTACTAATGAACAATGAAAGAACATACAACTGACAAGCACCGAGGTGAAAATGTGTAATAAAAATCCTTTGTGATTTCAAGGAACTGAAGACAAGAGAAAGAAAGCATCAAGGAAGAGATGGGACGAATAGCGTGATGATAGATTTAAATCCAAATAAATGAGATATCATGTAAAATTTAAATGACTAAGTATCTCAGTTAAAAGAGATTATCATAATAGATGATAAAATGATGCTCCAAAGACATACATCTTAAATACAAGTCCACGGAAGGACTGAAAGTAAAAAGATAGAAAAAACATATATAAACATTATCCAAAA